ATATATATAAACAGTACCTTGTATATCGTTGAGTTATTTTGATGGAATTGCCAATGTTCGATATTTAACTTTATCGCTAATATCGGTCGATACCGATACATGACGATAATATCGTGCATCCCTACATGACATTCATATATGACACAGCCACATAGTCCAGCAGCAATAAACACATTAGTGTCAAAGAGGCCTACTGACCTTTTTACAGTTACTAATTCATAAAATCAGGCACTGTGTGGTCAAATACATTCACAGATTCTTCCGGTATTCAAGGGTGACACGGTTCAGCTCTTGTCTTTATGTCGTTTGCACCTGCTTTTTTTTATTGACTTTTAGAAACCAACACATTAAAAAATTTGTTTTGCTGGTATTTAACATTGTGATAGCTAAAAGGCATTAACGTGCAATGTCAAAATGACTGCAGAGCATGGCTAAAACATAGGTAGATATGAACAGGAAGTAGGCACGAATATATCTACACCACGATGAATCGCAAAATACCGACACTGAGCGTGAGCATTAGTAAACGTAAGAAGGTCAATTGAAGGTCTGTTTGGGATGGAGCAATTCAACTTTGGTGATGCACTGTATTGAACTTACACTCTGATTTCTTCATTAAATTATGCAGATGGAATCGCTTTGTTTACGTTGAGTGCGTACCCGCATTCCAGCACTGATGCTGGAGAACGACTGGAATAACTTTCAAACTGCACCGCTTTATTTAAGATGACCTGAATTGTGTTTGACCTCATAGTTTGCAAAACGTGATTTAAACAAACAAACAAACTATTTAGGATTTGTCAGACGTTTAAATGACATTTAAAACCTGAGCTGGAGCTGTTCAGCTTCAGGCTCTCCTCGGCTCCTTTTTGGATTCTTGGTGAAAAAAAAAGTAAAAAGAGAACTGAAAAAAAAAAAGATGGGGGGGTGTGGGGGGGTTTGACTTTGCCTTCTTTGACTTTTCGGACATCATGTCTGTGTGGGAGCAGCTGGTTTGGGACTGAAGGAGAGGCTCTCACACATTCTCAGACAGTTTTCTTAAAACATTTCCAGACAAAAGAGAAACAAAAATGGCAGCCTTATTTTTATAAGGCGGGACGCCATATTCTGCAGAGCCCCCCCACCCCTAAAAAAATGTCCAGGAGCGTGAGGCGCAATGGAGGCTTTAAAATATCAGGAGAAGGAGAAGAAGGGGGCGAGAGACGAACACAAAGGTGTGTTTATCATCATGTCCGAGGCAACGATTGTTTACGGCAGGTTTGAATAGCCCGGCCTCCCCACCTCCTACAAAAAACTGACACTTCCTACAACAAGCCTGCAGAAAATACAGCACGGAACCGCACGAGCTGGACCCAGTCAGTCCAAGAACCCGAAACATTAGCAGCACACAATGCCTCGCCGCCCCGAAACACGAAGCTAAAGCCCACTTTGTGGGGCTCCTTTTCCCCCCTCGGTAACTTTTGGGCGAATCGAAGGAGGGAAACTGGGGGATTTTTGTGCACACATCCGGGACGCGGAGGAATGCTGAGCGGCGAAAGCACAAAAAGACATGCTCAAATACCTTGTGTCCCGCTTGCAGATATAATTGTCCTGCGAGTGCTGCTAAAATATAAAAGGTTGATGTTCTGTCTGCCTCCGGTCGGACCACCGCTTCCGGGTCGCCTCGTTCACTTCTGGGTGCAGCTGCAGGCTCGGTACTGTCAGCTACACGAGCAGGAGAAGGAGAAAGTCTTTGCTTAGGGTTGTTGTTGTTGTTGTAAATCGGCGTTTTCTCGTTTTCCACGCCATGCATCGCAATGTTAGGTTATTTTAAGGCGTGTCTGGTTTGCATTGGGTCTGCAGATCCGCCCTTCAACGATCCCCGAAGCACAGCAGCACCGTTAGGAGAAAATCTACATTTTTACTGCGTTTCAAATGGTCCCTAAATGCATCACATTCTGTTTAAAAACCAGCAAGAGAATCCTCCGTTAAATATGTTTTATTCTTAATCTCTGACCTAATAAAGACTCAGAAAATCAGCATATGAATAATATTTTAGTTTTTTTTTTTTTAATGTAAGGTAACAGTCTGTAAAAATAAAAATGAACCAAAGAAATTGCATTTATGGATGCTGGACTGCTGAAATTGTCTGAAGAAGCTAAGATCAAGTTTTTATTATTTATTTATTTACTTTTTTTTTAGCAGAACATTAGCTAACAGCTAAAAATAGCAGAATGGTAGGAGTAATTCGGGAAAAGCACCGATTAGAGCCACTTCTCTGCATCAAAAGAAGTCGGACGAAGTGATTTGAACATCTGATAAGGATATCTTCTGGGCATCTCCATCTGGAGGTTGTCCAGAAACTCCTACTGGGTGAAGACACTGGGACAGACACGGAACCTACTGAGGGATTGTATGTCCTCTCTGGTGAATGCTTTGTTATGCTGGAGAGAGGAAAGTTTGGATTTCCATCCTGACTGTTGCACTCGTGATCATATCACGGAGAAGCAGAACAAAATGGAGAGGTTTTGTTGAGTTTGAATTGTTCTAGAATAGATTTTAGAAATCTAGTCTGGAAAAGACCCCAGTCTGACTAGTTGTTTGCGTGACTCCCCCATGAGAACTCTTGTCTTCTGCAGTTAAGACACTGACTACTCAAGTCTTAGCCACAAAAACCCATTTATAAAGTCCAGAACCATCGCTTTAAAACATGCTATTTGTTAGCTTCTTCTTCTTTTGTCTTTTCCCTCTTCAGGGGTCCCCACAGCGAGTCATCCTCCTCCATCTCACTCTGTCCTCTGTCCTAACTGCATCCATATATTGTCTCTTTGTCTTTCTCCTGGCAACTGCATTTCTAACATCCTTCTACCAGTATACCCACTGTTCCTCCTCTGGACATGTCCAAACCATCTCAGTCTGCTCTCTCTAACTTTATCTCCCAGTTGTTCAACCTGGGCTGTACCTCTGATGATCTCATTCCTAATCTTATCCATCCTTGTCACTCCTAAGGAGAACCTCAACATCTTCATTTCTGCCACTTCCAGTTCTTCGTCCTGTCTTTGTCAATGCCACTGTCTCCAGACAATACAACATTGCTGGTCTCAACAGTTTTTTAAACTTTTCTTTTGACCTTTGCTGACACCCTTTTGTCACAAATCACTCCTGAAACTTTTCTCCATCCACTCCATCCTGCTTGGACTTTTTCACCTCTTTAACCACATTCCCCATTTTCCTGGACAGTGGACCCCAAGTACTTGAAGTCCTGCACCTTTGTGACCTCTGCTCCTTGTAGCCTCACTGTTCCACCGGCCTCCCTCTCATTCACACACATGGACTCCGTCTTACTATGACTGACTTTCATTCTTCTTCTTTCAAATGCATACCTCCACCTCTCCAAGTTCTCTTCCACCTGTTCCCTGTTCTCACCATAGATCACAATGTCATTTTCAAACTTCATATAGAAAAAGTCCTATAGGTGACATGCAAGTTTTATTTGTAAATATCTTTCTGAAGAAATGCTCCAGAAATTAAACGGGAAAAACAAATTACTGATTGTGGACTTTCAGAAACAGTCCTGTTTCTGTCTGGAATATCACTGTGGATGTGGGAATGGTGGACGATTACTGATATCTTGGTCCACATATTGTTAAGAAAGTGGACTAGATCAGCACCCCCTAGAAACTTCAGTGTGGTCTTTACAAAAAAGGTTAAATCACATCATCTGGACAAGTTTCTTAGTGTGGTCTTTATTTTCAAAGGTTGCTGAGGTCTTTCTAAATCAATGCCCAGGATGTTTTTTTGTTTAAAAAAATAAATAATAATAATAATAAATATATATATATATATATATAAACTGTGGTGGCTAGAGTTATTGTTTACATGTGATCAGATTAAAAAGAAAGAGTTTCAAGACCTGCATGTTTGCCTCAGACAGAATAAGGGACAATTCAGAGAAAACTCATTCAGCCTTTCAGACTCAGCCACGGTTGTGGTTTTTTGTAGTATTGCCTCCCATCCTGGGGTCGTTCTGGGTGGAGTTTGTAAATTCTCCGCGTGCACATGTGGGTTATTTCTGGGTACTGTACTCTAGTTTCCTCCCACAGACCAAAAACACAAATGTTAGGTTAACTGGTAACTCTAATTTATCCTGAGCTGTGAGTCAGAGTGTGAATGGTTGTTCCTCTCATTTATCTCTGTGTGTCCTTGTGATGGACTTTTGTTCTGTCCAGATGTCCCCTGTCTCTCGCACAGTGACCACCATAAGACACCATTTTCCCACAAAGAAAGGAGAAGCAGGCAAAGAAAATTAATGGATAATACTTTGATTAGCCATTCAAAGCAGCAAACTCACCTTTTCACTCTCACGAGGCACATTTGGGGCTCTGTGTGGGCTTTAGGGTTTGTTCTGGTTCAAACACTGGAGATAAGTGTGGAAGATGAGTGACAGTAACTCTGTAATTTCTTTGTTAAATATCAGCCCAACCACAAGTTTCACCACTGCTCCATGCCTCTGTATTATATCAGTAGGGACCTGGGCTGTATTAGAAAATGATACACAACAGAAACACTATACAAAAGTAAAAAAAAAAACTAAATATATATAAATATACAGAATAATTGTACCCTATTTTTTCCATTTATGCAGTGTTTTTATTTCCTAGTAACAGTTTGGGTTTACGCTCAACCATAAATCACCTGACTTAATAATTTTTCATCTATTTGGACCAGTCATTCTTCAGTTGCGTCAGAAGTGGTTCCGTTCACGTTAGAAAAAACTCCTACTCTGAAAAGGAATTTAAAAAGAAACTAGGCTATAAAAGCAGTTCTGGGAAATACAGCTGGCCACATCCCCTGGTGCAAACGAGAGACAAGAAACGAACAAAAAAGAGAAAATGTATCTGTGACTTGTGGTTTTAAAACGGCTTTGACTGAATATTAATTCTATTTCCTTTAATACACCAACAATCATAATAAAATAATAATAATTTAAAAAAAGCTTCCACTTCAAGTTTTCAGATGCTGCAAGATCAAACTGACTCATATTTAAATTTGTACTCTCTTAATATTCTGTAAGCCAGTAAGCAAAAATTAACTAAGTTTTTTATTGTTTTACTGGCACCTCTCTCAGCTTATCTAAGTGTTGTTTTTTTAAATCATGCAAACTGATTTAAAGTTGCCAACTTTCTCCTCAAACCATCACAACCCAATCTAACTCTGTAACATGTCACTGGTTGTGTCTGGATCACATTAAATCACAGATTCAGTGGACTTATAAAGATTCATAGAACATGTCAAGCGCTTACGTGTGTGTGTTTGCGTGCTTGTGTGTACGAAAGTGTGGGGAAGTGTTAAGTGATCTCATTGTGTTTCCTGTTCGCAGCAATCCTCTTCAGAACTGACAGTCCTGACCTACAAACACACGAACAAAACAGCCAACAGTTAATCTGAGTCCCACTCAGGATTTCTACTGATGAGTTTGGGCCGAACGCCTCGTCCTGTTCGTAGACTCAACAGAGGCAGATCGCAGTGACAGCTCTGTTATCTTTTTGTTTTTCTTCAAATGATTGAAAGATCACTCGTCTACTGGTGGGTTTATTACTGGCTTGCTGTCTGCGCTCCTGTCATGGATCTTGTGTGGGTAAGTAACTCAAGTCTATTTGAATAATCTGCATGTTTTATTTATAGGATGAGTAATTTCCCTTATTGTTTGTTTTGAGGATAAATTTACAAGTGGTCAGATATTTCAATAGAATATTAGGGGAGGTTCTTCCAATGAATTTGTTGATTATTTTAAAAACAAGTATGTTTTTCATATTTAAAAAAAAAAATTTCTATTGGTAAATTAGATCACTGTTTGAAGAGATTTTTTTTTCAATTTCTAAAGTTTAATTTTCCTCATATCTTGCTCCACAACACAAGATTTGTAGCATTTTTTAGCGTCATGAAGCTGAATGAGGCCAATGGGGAGTGGCAAATGTTGTTGTAACTTCACAGTTAGAAATCCCAATTATATAAATTATTCATTATCTTTATATATATATATATATATATATATATATATATATATATATATATATTATTTAATCTAATGTTGCTTCTTAGTTTCAATCTGTGATTTGCAGCACAGCAGAAAAACTGCTGATGTCTTGTTCGATCATAGTCCACGTAAAGATATTAAGTTTTAATCTCCTCAAAAAACTAAACAAACAAACCATATTTTATGGACAATGTTAAATGTTTTTTTTGTCATTACCTATTTAATTTTTATTTCTGCTTTGTAAACAAATTAGATCTTATTAATCTGATAGAAGTTTGAATAACTATAGTGTCATGAGATAATAAATCTTCATTCAATTCAGTTCAGTTTATTTATATAGCGCCAAGTCACAGCAGAAGTTGTCTCAGAGCACCATACAAAGACAATTAGTAAAAGTTCTCTATCTAAGGAAGGAAGCCAGCAGACTCGCTGAATCTTCACTTCATCTCCCATCCTGAGCAAGCACGTTGGCAACAGTGGAAAGAAAAAACTCCCTTTTAAACAGGAAGAAACCTCCAGCAGAACCAGGCTCAGGACAAGCAGCCATCTGCTTCGATTGGCTGGGTTTGAGAGGACAGGAAGGAGAGACAGACACAGAATGGCGGGTCCAGATGTGGGTGCAGGTGTTCCCCCTGTTGGAAGAAAGACAAAAACATG